AGCAAAAAATGAGAAGGCAAAGAAAAATACTATCCTCACTGCAAAATATTTCACTACAGTAGCTATGAATAACACCAGCGGTCCCATCTCTTACGATAAGATTAGCGGATGTCACTTTTGCAAATACAGAAACACACACAACATGATTTACTTACTGGGCCCTGTGTTTCTAAAATATGCCTGCTGCTGGTCCAACTCAGAGATAACAAATTATTCAGTTAACTTCAAACAACAAACTAAATACAAGTTAATGTCCACTTCTAGATGTTCATCATTCTCTGTTTCATACTGATAAATCTGTCAATAACTCACGAGATTACTCAATGCTGCTGTTCCTTTCCTGCATGCTTTGAGACATTTAGTCACCAGACTTTTGTATCTTTTGGTTGTTTATTCAAGTCTGTTGTGTTTCCTGTGTGCTCTTTATTGACCTTAACCAGAACCAGGGTACAGTTCATAGAAATAGTTTGTTTGTTGGCTCCTGCTGCAGTGAATCAGTCTCTTGATTCTGGTCCTGTAATTTATCATCTTTGTTTTTATCATTTCAAACACAAAGCTTTCTAAGTTCATTAGATCTGTTTGTCCACAGCTAATCAATAATTCTGCTGGACCCACCAGTGCTCATTCATGACTTTATCCTCAACGACCTCTCGTAGTTATGGGGATTCACAATGTTTTGACTACTGACTCCTCACTCACGCGTTGCCCCAGCAAGGATTCATTTAATCTGAGTTTTAATCTGAGTTTAGAAAAACTACGTTTAAAAGGAGTAAATCCAGACTTAGAATTTAGTAGAGCTCTGTCGCACAAATACAAACTAACCTCAGTAAATCCAAGTTTAGACCAAAATGAAATATAGTTTTATTAATATGGAGATGCCTGTTTACCCAAATTAAAATAATTTATAGTCCTCTAATTTCTCCGTCTTTAAGAAAAAACTTGTGGCTGAATTACTGGAGCAAAATGGTCAAATAATAGTAGATAAACGCGCACAACAGCACCGTGAGGAAAACCTTTTACACAGTAAAGTAAAAAGAGACTTCCTGTTCAGCTCAAGAACAGTTTCCTTTCTGAATGGTGTCTTGGGAGAAATTCAGCAGCAGCAGCAGCAGCATCATGAAACTCAACTGATTGAGTCTGTCCCTTAACTTTTTGTTCGGAACTTGATTTAAACCGGTTTAAAAGCCGAAACCCAGCAATCTTTAAGATTTAAGTCCTGGTTGATTCAGGACTTCTGTTTGAGTGAAAACAGTTTCATCTTTTCATGTCGACACTGTAGAGAATAATAAAATGCATTTATTTGCTGTAAAATCTTTATAGGACGCGACAACCAACTTTAAGATGCTGTGTTTTTTTTCTCTGAACTGTCTGGCCCGCACCCCATCCTGTCAGTCGCTAATGTGTGGTCTGCTCCACTAGATAGATTATCTGGGAAGCCACAGTGCTGTTTTAACCTTGGCAAGAAAGGTTGTGTTACTTTGCAGAGTGGCGAAGTCCCTTGAAAGCTTCGGCTTCCCATATTTTGATATACAACAGTCTTATTTTTAAGTGATGTCTTTGCCCTGTTGAGACTGCTGGAGCACACACTAGGTTTGTTGTCAAGATGGATTTTTTTTTTTCCTCCTCTTGACATATCTGATGAAAAGGCTGCACTCTAAATGTGTAGCCCGAGGGACTTGCCTGTAGACTGTGATATTAGCAAAGTTCCTCAATCCATCCATAACTTTACTACTTTACTAAACTGAACCGGGGCTGTGATGCTGAAATTGTGAGTTTCGTTGAGGTATGGGCCTTATCTGACTAAACATCTGCAATGGGAGGTCCACTTGAATGCTCCAGTGTCATTTTAGCTCTGGAGTTTCCCTTTTTATCAAAGATCAAAGCCTTTTTGTGGAGATGCATACCCAAGATTAAACCGTGTATAAATGTCTCCTTATTTTGACAGTATCTCATTATCAGACACTTCCACACATCATGTTTATCAGAACCGTTCATGGGGAATTGAAATATGTAACATTCCCTATTGACATGCTGGACAACACCCACTGCCTACTGTGACATGAAATAGCACATTGATGAAATATTTCTATAAACAAACTCACATGAAAATGATGAGACACTTTCAACCACACATTTCAGTTCCATGCAAGTAAAAAGTCATTTTTTAGTTTTGTTTTTGTTTGTACTTATCATTTATATTCAACAATGTTATCTTATCTTGAGCTTGACCGTGTGTTTGTTGATCTGCAGGACCCCCGCAGCTCTCTCTCTTCCTCTTTGGTATTTCTATGTAGAAAGTTTGCTGGTTGGTGTGCACATGGCAGTGCTGGGTGCAGACAGTGACATGCTTATGATATTTATTGTACAAATTCTGAATGTTGCAGTTCAAATCTTTAAGATGTTACCTCATGTCACCATTTGAAGACGCCAATGTGCAAAACGATCTTGTGCTCTCATCATACTGTTGCTCACTCAGTGTGGTGCTCACTAAGTGAAATCCATTTCTTCTTCTGCTGCTGTGCAATCTATCGCTGCATTCAGTGAGAATTGTACAGCTGCCATCTGCTTATAGCTGCTTCCCTGATTGGTAGCTCATGCTGATTGTAGACGATGTACATGACATTTGCATTTTTTGAGGGGAAATCTGATTTTGTTGTACTTTGTTTGGGGAAGAGAAATGTGATTTATTATGTGTGTGCTGGGGACATGATAGTTCAGCTTCCAATTTAATTAATTGTGGGCGTGTGCATCTGCACTGTAGATTGCAGTTGATCCAAATTCTGACGATCCAACTGATCCCCTTACCGTCGCCTAGTTTATTCATACCGGTATGTCGGATTTGTGTCACACCTATTCTGAAAATACGGTCATTCTGAATATAGCCACAGCCCATAATAAATTTAGTATAATGTTTTTGTTTAGTATAACCATTTAGTATAACCATTAGTTTTTTTTATTCCCACGTAAAGTGGGATCACAGTAAACACAACCACCTCATCACGAGCTCGTTAGAACTCTTAGGGCAGCCTTCCGCTCAGAAATGACAAACAGCGTTGTTCAAAAAATGTGAAGTGATTTTCGGCATTTAGTGTCAAGGCATTTTGATTTTTAAGATTAGACGGACACTAAATAGTGCTCTTTGTCTTCACCTGGTGGTTACACAATGCCAGTATCCCAGCTTTTATTTTGAAAGTACAAAAGAATGAGCTTTGTCATTATGTAAAGTGTGTTCAAATATCCAAACTACCATTACTATTAAGTAAGCCAGAACAATGTTTAGTGTGTCCCAATACCAGGATATTCTGCTGCATCCGGTGGCATTTTTGCTGAACTCAAGCCAACATGCTTTTCTGCCTAATCTGACCCACAATCCTTTGTGCATACTGCATGGAACAGTATGTAAGGGCTGCTGCAGTATGTACTAAAAGTTAAAAGGAAAAGTGTGCGATTTGGAACACCGCTGTAGTTACACAATTCCCAAAGGTTGACTTGCAGATTGATTAGCGCTCCGATTTGTTTTGTGCACAAATCTTTTGTCGTCAATATACTTCAACAGGTTTTAGACTGAGTCTGTTTTATCTGTGGCTTCTTTAAAATGGCTGGTTGGGAAAATGAGATGATGTAAATCATTAACTTTTGATTCACTTGAGTATTTTCCCAATGTCATCAATTATCTAATGCTCGAGAATATTTTAAAGGAATGTATTATCTGTTCTCCCCACTGGATTTAACTTTGATAAGCCCTTGGCAATGATACCTCTTATTGTCAAACCAAATGAGAAACACTATGTTCTTCTTCGACACAGAATCATATTAAATCCTACAAGTCACAAGCCATTATATTACCCTGTCTATATCTGAAATGAATATCTAACTTTTTGTTCAAAATAATTGTACAAAGTTACAGTGAAAATGCACATTTCATGCGGCGGTAAATGATCCCTGACAACGGTATCATGTTGGTGACACTTTAAATGTCAGTCGGTTTGTGAGAGTTCTGAGAAAGTAAACCAAGGGTTCTGTGGGTTAGGAGTGAATATAATTCATTGGCATGTGCTTTATGCACATCTACTCTCCCCCTTTATTTGTTTTGTCTAGTTATCTAACAAACTGAAGTTCCAAATCATCTGCACAGTGACCTTTGACGTTACAAAATGGTTGCCGTTAAATCACAGTCTCAAGAGCCACAACATTTTGCCGACACCATGTATGATTTTGCATTTGAGAAGCCTGGTTGTCTATGGGAACAAAACCAATACCAAAAACACAGCGTATGAATGGTTTAAAGTAACCAGTGTCTCTTCCATGGAAAGTAACTAAAGCAGCAAAAAGTTGCTGGATTACATCACACTGATTTGTATATTTGTGATGGCATTGCATAACTATTATTAAAAAAAGAATGTCATAATTGACTGACTAGCTTCATCATTAGATATAACATTTTACATGTTGCCATCTCATCAATATGCATCTAAATCTAGCTTACCTCTATTTTCAAAACATATGCTTTCGTATAGACTGTGGAACTGAAGTGTCAAAAAGATCCAGATACTAGACTGACTGAGTAACTAGGTGGGGATGAGGCATTGCAAACCATCAATTTGTATTCACATGCTGCTAATTAAGACGTGATGGTGGGATTTTGGAAACCACAATCCTGCACACTTTTCCCTTAACATAGAAGGCTGTATGTGAGAACATAAAAGTTAAATACTGTTTTCAGCTCAAATGACATGTGTCCAAAATGAGAGCTTTTTCTGTAAAAGTTTTATTGAATCATTGAGTTATTTTAAGCACCCAAATTGCTGAAGTGAGGCTCAGGATTTTAGTGTAACTGAATTGCCAATGTATTTTTAAGTAACTACTTTTTAGATAGAAATCGCAAATTTCATATTGATGCCAAAATGCAAATTTAACCTAGAATATAGAAGACTGTGTATAGTCAGTCTCACTAATAGTATGGATACAAAAACACTGTTTTTTTTTTGTCTATTTTGCAGGTGAACATCTTCGGGTGTGTTCTCAGGGAAGCACATGTTGCACCCAGGAAATGGAGGACAAATTTGGCCAACAAAGCAAACAGGACTTTGAGAATCTAGTGGATGAAATTAGTCATGAATTGAGAAGCACCTTTGTTTCCCGACATAAAAGATTTGATGGTAAGTCTATTTTTGCTTCATACTTAATACTGATTAATTTTCCTATTTTGTCTCTTTTTTTTAAACAATGTTAATGTTCCTTAGAACCGTAGACGGTAGAACAAAATGCTGCAAAAAGGAAAATTATAACATTTAGACTGGATGTGTTAATTTGAAAAGGTTCACTGTTTGTAGTTGTATAGCTGTCCTCCCTCGATTGCAGACAAGTTGTGAAAATCTTGTTATATGCCTTGGAGTGGAGTACCCTCTTGTTTGATTCGACAACATTGCTTCTTGCACAGCAGACTGACAGCTCGTACAGCAGTACAGAGCCAAACTCTGCATTATTACGGCTTTTTTGGTGTACCTGTGCTCTGTGCAATATCGTCGTGGACCTATGGTTACTGTCTTGACCATCGCACGTGGGAGGGGATGTCCTCATTACTGAACCAAGACTCACTTTACCTCTCCACCTCTCCCTGTTGGTATCCCTCTATGCAGTTGACAACTCAGTTTAATGAGAAACAATAATCCCTCCAGCTACCAACATTATACTGTGTGGGAAGCAGTAGCTTATCACTGTGGACAATGATGAAGGGTGGTGGAGATGAAAATTGTCAAGCAAAGCCACCTGTCAGCATTGTTGGCAACGAATGCAGCATAAAACCTTTTAATGAGTTATTACTCAGAAACGTTTTAAAGATGAATGTGTCAGAATTTTATTTTTTTCTCCAAGTGAATGGCAGGGCAAACTGCGATTGGAAAATTGGAAAAAAATGAAAGAATATTGGATTATAATGCTTTTTTAAATGTATATTAAGAGTGATGAGACACACTATCCAATATTTATCATTCGTGCTAAATCCTTGGCATATAGTCAGTATGTAATAAACCCTTATATTTAAAACCCCAGATCAGACTTTGTGTAATCCTGCTTCAACATTTTCGAGTGCACTTGAGAAACTGCAATCTGCTTCTAATTTTGTTCAGAAAAGTCTTGGCCAGGACTCCCTCAGAGAGACCTTTTATATCTCAATGGGACTATCCTGGACAAATAACGGTTAAATAGAATAATGAAAATAAATGGAATTTCTTTATGTAGTTGATTAATGTTTCGTTAAAGCATTTCCAGTGTTAATCATGAAGGAATAGCAAAGCTGCAACCATGTAACCATCAAACTTTAACTCAAATAATGGGTAATTCATCAGTGCCAGTATCAACACACTTTATTTATCATAGCACTCTCCAAAGTAGTGGATACAAAGTGCTTTACAGGCGAAAGAAAAGAGAAATGTAGAAACCACAAAAATATAAAATCTAGAAAAGCCAAAGAAAACAGAGTTTAAAGAGGTGTTTGATCTGTGCAGAGACTTTAGCGGGAGGCTATTCTTCAGTCAAGGAACAGAAAAAGCAGAGTCATTGGAGTGAAAGCATATTGTATGCCCAATATGTTCCCATCTACAAGCTATGTAACACTATTGTTGAAAGAAGTTTACAGTAGATAATGAAATCAAGCTTATTAATTCTATATGGATCACATTTGGTGTGATTAATACATAACCTCGCCCTGTTGTCAAGGGGTTTGCATTACAGTAGCATAAAACAGGAACACATCAAAATCGAAATTTGAGTGTTATTAGCAAATCCATCATGTTATTACTGTACTTCTGCTGTTATTATTCTGCTCTGTGTTTTAAAACGATTTGCTTGCTCGTCATCAGTGAAATTTAAATTGCAAAACGACAGCAAGTCACTGTGAAAATGAAGAAGACCCGTAACAAACTAATACAATAGATTTATTACAACACAACAAGCGTTTTATCAGATATTTAACTACAATAGAAAGTCACACTAGCTTTTATTCATTTTTACTTCTTTAACGGTTGTGGTCCAGCAGTATTGGCAAACCTCAAGTACTTGTCCTTTTTGTCTAAAGGGTTGTCTTCCAATGCAGTATATCTCCTGTGATTCCAACTTATATATAATACTTTTTCTTTTTAAGACTTAAGGTTTTTGTGGGTCCACGATACACCACTGTTATACATAGTACACACTATATGTCAGCACCTCTTTGTGTTATCTTAAACCTTTTCACTATTCATATCCTGTTCGATGATCGGTTAATATACAGTTGATATACATACATGACCTAACATACATCATGTCAACATGAATATAACCTTTTCATAGATCTCTGGATTGAAGAGCAACACTCCCAAAAATTCAGTTAATCCAAAGTCATTCTAATATTCGTCCAAAAGTAAAAAGTCAAAGCGTATACTGTATATAGGTTTTCATATCAGGCTGTCTGAATACATCCAATGTCAACAACTGAATAATGTTTGACTGATTAATAGCGCAATTCAATACTCAGCAGTCAATGTCTTGTATTTCTATGCTCATTCTATCCAACATATTATATCAAACAAATACTATTCGGTTACAGCATGCAACTCTCAGATGACTGCACATTGCCCAGAAACTCAATGTCACAATGCCTGGGTTATATCCGTCTGTTTTTTTTCCCCCAGGAATATACACTGCTGTAGCTCCTGTTTGATTCCTGGAAGTGAGCATAAATAAATAAGTGTTATTTTGATCAGCCACTGTCAGGATCGTGAATGTCATAAGGAGGACTCCAACAAAGGAGGAAATGGGGTTTGTCCAGCTGCACTTAGATGCATGACTCCAGGCAACCCTGTTCCTCTTGGGGTCTGCTGCCATTCTCCATAATTTCATCAGCTTCAAAGCAGATGCCATATGCAGAGTTCAGCTATGTAGCCCTCTGCTAGCGTCGACTCAGGTTCTCCACTAACCACCCGCTTGAGAAATCTGAGATATTGTTTGCTGGATTTGAATGCCACCCTTGTCTTTACACATCATTACTTTAATCTGAGTGTTAGAAGTTGTGTGGTTTCGAGCAGTAGAAATCAGTTGAGATTTAACCAGCCAATACATATTTGAAAAGAAATGCATCTTTCATTTATTTTCAAGCACAATCTGTCTATTATGAGACTCTGCATTTCCCTGACTTCATGTTCCTTAAACAATATCTTCTCTTCATAAAGCAGTGTTTGCCAAACAATTGCGTTGGCCTTGATTCTAGGTCTAAATGCATAGTTAAAGATCCAAACAACACGGAACTGTTTGATCATTTCGTGATCGTGAAGTTATTTCCCATCTATTTAGCACCTGGCTATGGAGTCCCACCTACACAGGGTCAGTGTATGTATTCTCCTCTCTTTAATGCAGAGTTTGTGATGAGTGTTACTGTAGCTGACAGTAGCTGGCCAGCCCACGCATACCTGACACCACAGGCTATGTGTCACAGTAAGAGGGCACAGTCTTGACGATGCCAAGACCAACCCAGCACAAATACAGAAATATCCAATAGCAACCCATGTTGCACTGTGTGAATCTAAGAAAGACACGGCACCATCTGAGAAAAATCAGTGCCAAACATGCAGCCACAGTTACTGCAATGTATTAATACATTTCTCCTCTTTGCTAATTAATGCATATCCTACTCATATACCCAGGAAACAACTGCTCAGAGAAATTAGATAAATGTGGCTGTCACAGAGTATTCTTTTCCACTTGCTCGTTAAACACTTATTCAGGGGTCTTAACTGCTAATCAATTGTTGGCCCTCCTCTGACAATGAACACCATGGTGGCTGGTTAGCCAAACAGAATATTAATGTGGTCCACCCTCCACCATTGATCTTCTTTGGAGTTACCGACTCACACTGTTGTCGCTTGTCAAAAAAGTCCTTGCAGTATAGGACAATATTAAGCAACTGGCCCAAAATGGCGACAGTTGTGTTGTTGCACATAAAAAAAAGAATCACCGGTGAAATACTTAACTTTACCCACTCGTAGAAAACCACAGAAGATAATGTAGTGTTTTGACCCAGTGTTGCTGTTCTTTTTAAGTTACTATTGGATTATTTACCCAAACAAAATATGGTATGGTTGTGAGTCTTTATAATCTACTCTTCACTGTTTAAAAGTTGCATGTCAATATCTGTTGGTGGTTGTTACTAATATGTGTAACCTTTGCAGTTTCGAATGCCATATGCACATTGTTTTGTACAAGTGATAGTAGGTTCGTGGCCATTTTTTTACTTGGCACAAAGTTAACCCAGTGATGCTGTACGGATGAGTCAGTGTGTGGAAGTTGGCAAATATTTGTATCCTCTCTTTTCTCCCTCAGCAGCCATTGTCGATGTGCTCTTGAGCAAAGCCCTTAACCTAAATTACTCCTCATGGCATAATCCTCGAGGCTGCCAACCATAGAAGGCCGCACTGTGCTGACCAGCTACCAGGTGTGGATGTGTTTGACTAGATGAATGTGGAGCTGGGCAGTGCTCAAAAGGGCATGCTGGCTCAGCAAAAGCCTCCTTTAATTAAGAGGTCCTATTGGACTATCCAGTTGGAGAGTGGAAGAGTAGGTAGGATTCAAGATAGAAATGCCAAGGTATCTCTGTACTCTAAAGGAGATTTGGTAATCATTCTCCGTAGTATTTCTAATGGACAAGCTGCTACGTTTTATGGAAATGCATACAATTTCACTTCAATTTAAGGACGGTATGCCATATCTCAATTTACATTTATGAAACCGCGCTTCATCAAATGTATTCCAGATTCCTTCCTCAATTTATAGCATTGGATATGTTAACTTTAAAATATTAGGAAATATAAATCAATCTATTTATCTTATATATAACTATCTTAGCAGTGAGTGATTTTACATTGTATTTAACTGCCACTGTGTGACTCACTACAGGCTACAAGGGTTTAACACATGCAAATGGGGAAATAAAAAGCCTGTTATGTTACGTACAGAAGCACAGCGCTTAGAGCGGCCCTCTGTAGATCGGTGTCTCCTGTCAGACCAAATCAATGGTCCAACAACTGATTGACATGTAGAATTAGAAGTGCTTCTTTTGGCAGCAAAATTGCGAGTTTCATGTAAAGGCATGATAGCTTCAGTAGTTTGAAGACCAAGCGATGTGCGA